TAACCTAGCGGGACTTGATTTTTGTGTTGGTAAACGTGTCTGATTTATTAGAAAAGATGAGATCTATGCATGTTCTAGATATGTGATTGCCATTGGTCTGCGCTATTCTTGTCGCCTGATTAACTAATTGTTGCATGTTGAGTGCGGACGATTCCAAGTGGAGTTTTCCCCTCAGGGGACAGCTGGTATCAGACCAGTTGATGTTAAAGTCCCCTAAAACTAAGACTTCCTGGTCGCCATGTGTTGCTGTGTCAAGCATTTGTGTGATTTTGTGTAGATAGTCAATTTTGGCGTTCGGTGGTCTGTAAATACATCCTACTGAAATGGGCTTGACAAAGGGTAGATGTATCTGTAACCAAATTGCTTCGATTTCTGGTTGTTCTAGTTCAGATTTACATTTGTATGGTATGCTATCTTTGATGTATAGAGCGACGCCCCCACCTTTGTTGTTACGGTCCCTTCTTACCAGGGTATAGCCAGCTACGCTTAGCGTTCCATTACAAATTCTGTCATCGAGGTGCGTCTCTGTTATGGCTAAAATGTGCAGATTGTTAGAGCATAATAAGTCTGTGATATCATGCACTTTATTCCTTAGGCTATTTATGTTAATGTGGCCGACGTGAAGTCCTTTACTAATAAGACCTAGATCTATCGGGCCAGGGTTGGAGTGAATATCACCTGACAGCAGCAGAACTATCGTATACGTAGCCAGCAGTGTTGATACGTCGGTTGAGGTGCGAGTCTGTGTACGTTGCGTCGATCGACCTCCATTCAGGGTGATGTTGCTGATCGCATGCATACCAGCTGAGCCGAGCGCCGGGGGATGCTCAGGTGCGGACTGCCAGCTGCAGGTAATCAGGGCGAGCCTATCTTCCGCTTGCGAAGGTAGCTGCCGATGGCGCGACTTTGGAATTACAGCTATAACTACCACTGCCACTAGCAGTGAATAACATCTAACAAGATCTAACACTGTTTTTAACGATACCATGGTGACTCCAGGAAGATTCGTATAAGAATACTGTCCACTTTGCGTAACTTATAACAATAACTCAATTCATTGGTCGTTAACAGTTTGGCGCCATTTTGGCTTATTCGGAATCCTAAATTGTATCCTATAATATCAGCTCTTCTAATCTACAGTTTGCTTGTCCACAAAATTATCTACTACCTGAAGTAGTTATCAGCTGTCTACGACCCTCTATATGTGCAATCGGTAAGGGCTATTGTTCAACACACTGACGCACGTCGGAAGACACCATCCATGCTTCTTCGCCACGGCACAAGTAACACGGGGGTTTTCTGGCTTATTTTTGCCTTTGGTTAGCAATTTGAGAAGGGGTAAAGTGACTGTTGAAAACAGTATGCTTTGGCCAACATAGAAAACGTAAAACGAAAGTCAAAACTGAAATAATACTTGCGTTGGGGAATAAAATTGACGGAGTCGAAGCGAAGGGTGTCTCACCGTCGCGGATGACCTCTGACCTGAGAAACAACATGAGAAGATATCTATAAACTCAGAGCTAAAATACCACAATAACATGTACTGCATATCGTCTAAACAGGCTTTAGTACATATACAGTCTATTGTGGTCTAGATAATGTTGATGGTAAGTAACATGGATGTTTTAACAGAAACTTTTAGATCATTTGTCGTTAGGTTGGTCAACTGTCACTGTCATAACAGGTGCATTAGAAAAGATGTATCTTATATTGAAGTTACCATTATTGGAGTGTCATAATGGCATTGCATAGAATGGGCATGTCAAAGAATGAGGCATTAAACTCGCTAATCACCGAAAGTAACCTATATCAGCACCCGTCTCTCTTGATGATGCAATGTGATGGGATGATTTTAACCCATGTTACTTTGTTGAACAGCTGTTCGCTGTGATCCCAGACTGGAGGCTCCTGATGGAGGAACCGTGCAGCCAGCAAACTGTAACAACGAGTATCTCACCACGTGCCAATTCCAGTAAGAATCACTTACAAAGTTACTGTCTTTCTTTAGTACAGTTGTAGCGTTTTCCTTATCAAGGAAAGTGAAAAATAAGCAAAAGTTGGTTTCGGCTGTATACATGAATGTGTGTACGCTTTATATACATGTAACTGAAATTCAAGCTACACCTTTGTCACCATGTTGGCGTCGCTCACTCGGCGGCTTATTCAGGGGTTAAAGGTCACTGAACAGGCATTATGTCACCAGAAACACTACAAGGTGACTCATGACTTTTTATCAATCCCGTAAAATGGCCTTCGTAAAACATCACATTTACATAGAAGTGAAACACCATACCATGGAGTAGAATTAGACAGTGGATTATGTATTGTGTTTTTCTTAGATGTAACTACGGATACAAAATGTTGAGTGGAACACCGGAAAGAACGTGTCACGCCAACAAGACCTGGAGTGGAGCCCCCGTTATCTGTCAGAGTACGTACAAACACTTTTCTTCAACCTTATCTTGAAAGTTCATTTGTGTTGGTAGAACTCATTATGAGGCAAGTTTAAACTGTAATTTCCAACACAACAAATTGGACTCACCCAAATTTCCAACAACCTGCAACCTATGATCCACTGCTCACGAAGTCACTTGTGTTATCTGCGTGACGTCACGGAAGCGGTGGATTGTTCATTCCTTGACAAAGACTGGAGTTGTACAGTCGAAAATTTGGGTATGTCCGATTCGTTGTGTTGAACATTGCAGTTTAAACTTGCTTCATAACGTTTCTTCAACGATAATATTATCTCTTGATGCGATAGCTGATTTTGGGGAGGGGGGTCGTCCTGTTGAACATCTTATTTAGATATTTGTCAATAGTGACATGTGTCTGGCTTTTTCTGTTGTAATGTTTATTTGTTTTGTTTGTTTGTTTTTTATTTATTTAGAAATAGAGTGTGCAGGTCTGGCGGTGCCGTCAGACGGTCAAAGGGCATGTGTGACGTCAGACGGTCAACAGGCGACTGGAACATATCCTTATGAAACCACTTGTACATTCACCTGTAACAAAGGATACACCTTACAGGTACGTGCCCATGCGTTGTTTATACGTCTGGGTCTGTCTGTCTCTTTGTCTCCCTCTGTCTCTGTCTCTCTATCTCTGTCTGTCTCTCTGTCTGTCTCTGTCTGTCTCTCTGTCTCTATCTCTCTGTCTGTCTCTGTCTGTCACTGTCTGTCTCTCTGTCTCTCTGTCTGTCTCTGTCTGTCTCTCTGTCTCTCTCTCTCTCTGTCTCTCTCTCTCTCTCTGTGTGTGTCTCTCTCTCTGTCTCTCTCTCTCTCTCTGAAATCTCCAATTTCCTGTGCGTTTCTTTGTCGGGTGACATCGTACACATACCGGCCAATAATGCAGAAATAATACTGCTTTTGTATACGATATGTTTGTTAATGTATGCACGTGTCTGGTGCATCAGTAGTACAGTGCACGTGTTTGGAAGTAAGGTTAGCTGTCTAGTAAGAGGCCTGATATTCTTTGAAGTCGATAAGGTATTAAGACCTGGATAACGTTTTTCTTATGTACTATGTACATTGTACATCCATTAATGACCCTCAACAGAGTCAATTTTAATGTTATCTTACTGAGTATTCAATGCTTTTCTCTATATGCTAGGGGAGCAGTGTGCGGAAGTGCTTACAAGAAGGAAAGTGGGACGGCACAGAGGCAAAATGTCTCGGTATGTCACATAATAGATTCAGTTTAATTTCAGTAGGAAATTAAAGGCGACTTAGGGATAAGTTCTGTTCCTGTATATTATATTTGCTTTCAATAGAAATCATTTTGATGGTCCAATTGAGGCCTTTGCTGCTTTACTTTGAATACATTTGACGTGTTTATTGTTAGAAAATACACAAGGAAGCTACAACTATGTTGATATTTTAGTACATTTTCTGAAGCCGGACAAAATTGGCGTCTGTAAAAATGCAGGACATTGCAGTTCAAGGTTTTAAGTGATTATAAATTCATAAAATTACGCCTATTGTCGAAAAATAAAGTCTGCTTTTTTACTTAAGCAGCAAGTTTAAACTGTAATTTCCAACACAACAAAAATTGGACTCACCCAAATTTTCGACTGTACAACTCCAGTCTTTGTCAAGGAATGAACAATCCACCGCTTCCGTGACGTCACGTGGGTAACACACGTGACTCCGTGAGCAGTGGATCATAGGTTGCAGAAAGTCTGTGGCGCCCCCCGTCTCTGTTGAGGGATGGTTGTAACGCCCTGATGTAGGTGGTCTCTTAAATCCCTCGTGCAAAGAAGTCCGGTTCTGAGTCCAGGATTCTTACTTTGTCCAGTGAGACTGAATGACCAGGCGATTCTATGCTTTTTTACTTATTTATCTCTTTTTCTTGCCAGTTAAAAAGTGTGACGCCTTACCGATGGTGGTAAACGCCACCGTGAGTCCGTCCTCCTGTGTTAGTGAGGCCCAGAAGTTTGACACGGCCTGTCAGTTCACCTGCCAAGATGGCTACAGGATGGACGGAACTGCCAACAGAGTTTGTCAGGAAGACGGCAGCTGGTCCAACCAACAACCATCGTGTATAGGTACGTACTGACTGGTATATACCAGATAACTATCAAAGGGGTGCTAGTGTAATGGAAATAAAAAGAAACCTACAGTGGGGGTCGATGGAAGAAAGATGTAGAATGTCCAGACTGTGCATGATGTACAAAATGACTTATAAACTGGTGTACGTACCAACCTCTAAGTATCTGATACCAGCCCAGAAAAGAACGAGAAACAGTTCTTATCAACCAAGAATTGAGGTGTTCAAAAACTCGTATTTTCCCAGAACTATCGTAGACTGGAACTCGTTGCCACCAAGCACAGTAAGGGTATCATCACTAGAAAGCTTTATACAACTCTTGCAATTAAATGAGCAAAGTGTAACAAGTCGTTCGGTGTGGTATAGCTAGCTGCGAAGCTGGTGTGTTACGCCGAAGGGCGGTTATACCGGCTTTACTGATACAGATACAGATACTAGAAAGGCCAATATTTGCTTTGGAGCAAATACAGCGATGGGTTCACCACATTTTACGACATGGCAGGGAAAGAATGAGAAACACAAGGGAAAACAATGATTTACATTGATATAACTATAATATGAAGTAACATACAACTAAAACAACAGTTGGATAGCTATTCCCTACTTTATTGGTTAGGATTTTTAATTGCATAATGCAAACTGTTGATTTTCAAAATAAAAAAAAACGTTCATGCCCCGCATTCCAATGCTGGAGCAGAAAAGCTTGAAATACCTACCAAAACACTTGAATAAAGACATACTGTCAGTATGGAAATGCTCTGTGCAGGTGTTAATCAAGTTAAATCCCAACAGCCAATCAGCAAGAAATGCTCTGTGCAGGTGGAAATGCTCTGTGCAGGTGTTAATCAAGTTAAATCCCAACAGCCAATCAGCAAGAAGTATAGAGGAAAGCTGCATGCCTATTGGTTGATGCCCTGCATTCCATTGTGATGACTCATGCCCAGACGTGGTAAACACGGCACACTAACACAGTAATACATTTGCTATAACACAGCCAAAAAACTCAAATAAAACCATTCTAAAAGCCTGTATTACAAAAATTTAAAAAACGCCTAAGGGTATTTGCCCACTGTACCTCCATACCAAATTTCAGGACCTTAGGCCCTAAAATGAAGAAGCTGAATCCATTTAAAAAATGGCAGGAGGAGAAGGAGAAGGAGAAGAAGAAACATCAGAAAAAGCAATATGGGTTCACCACCACTTTGTGGTGTGGTGAACCCATAATAAGTAGTTTAACATGTGTATAGAAAGTATTTGTCGATCAAGATTAGGCATTCGTGTAATGAGATGCACACGATAGCAGTCACTCTTGGTTCTACAAGTAATACCTGCATCATCAAAGGCTAATTCAGTACTAGCAAATACATTGTTATTTTCTAAGTGTAAAACTTTATGCTGAGGTCATAGTTCTAAACCGGGGCCCGGCCGAGCAGCTTTTGGGAACGAAAAGTACGATATAAAAGAGACGAAAAGTTAACGAAACTAATAATGAGTACATTTTGTGTTATTTTCATGATATGAATTGTTACACTCTTTTGTTGATGCACGGTCTGAAAATGTGACTTTCTCCACCAAACACAGATGAACAACCACCACGCCTGGTCATCGGCTGTCCAGCGGACATCGTGAACAGTACAGAAGAGGGTCAGAACTACCTGACTGTCGACTGGACCGTTCCTGCAGCTGTAGACAACTCGGGGAAGACACCCAAGATGACCGTGACGCCGGCTGGCATCAAACCTCCTCACAAGTTTCCCATCACAACTGGGCTGCCGACTGTCGTCACGTACACGTTCACTGATGACAGCGGCATGGAAAACACGTGTTCATTCGACGTAAAGGTCTTAGGTAGGTTATCTTTTTTTTTGCATCTCTTGTCTTTATTGACATGAGTATAGAATACATGTGTACATAGGTGATAAACCGTTACATCACATTCATCAATTTCTGTCTGTTTGAACACATCTTTCACTTAATTACCCTGACAAATTGTCTGATACCTTTACATTAATGGCAAAAGATGCAACTTGAAAGGCTTCGTAATCATAGGATAGAATTAAAGACATTTTGTCATTACTTAGCAATATTACTGTTGGTAGGTGCTAGGTTGTCTTTAAGAAATCCATTCAGATTCAGATTTTATTACCAATGACATAGCAGGTACAATATAAAATCAAAACCTGAATTGCGTCATTGCTTACAGATCCGCCTTTAAAATCCAAGTATAAAATTCACAATACATGATAAAATACAATCTAAAAGTCATATCAGGTATAAAGTGATATCAGGTAACCTATTTACCTGGTGAGAGCAGCAGACACGTACGTGTATGAGCGTGTGTTACAGGTCAGCTCAAACAAACTCAGTGCTAGGATTACAAGTACGAGAAGTTTTAACAATGTAATCTACGCACTACGTCCACAAGGGCATATGGAGTAAATTAGCCCCTAAGTACAACTATCCATTGCTTGTCTTAGCAATTAGGCCACACCGATTTAATTTTATGGATGACATCCTCTGAAGACCCCCAAACTAGTGCGCGCGGGCGAATAAAAAAAAATCCCGGCCCAAAATAAAAATGCTACTAAACCACAGGAATACAAGGCTGGTATTGTGAATTCGCGGCAGTTCGTAGCGACGTATACGACAAGCCGGCAAATGCTGGATTTTTTGCGGAATTTATTAATCGGTACTGTCCGTATGTACTGAGTTCTTGAGTCGTGGAGCTTCGGATTCGATAGCTTGGGTGCTCGGCTCCGTTTTGTCGCTGACTACCATGGACTACCCAGGCCTAGTGCCAGGCCAGAGCCTCCGTGGACGTGATCTTTTTTTTTTTTTTGAGGGCGACAGGCGAAAATCAATGCGCGCGTGGATGTCATCCATAAAATTAAATCGGTATGGCCTTAGATCGATCAAAAATTACTGCATGCACTTCTTGGTTTGTAGGTCGTAGAACACAGTCAACTGAAGTGTTGGAAGTTCTGGAAAGTCTCCAGGACGGTAGATGTGCCCTGAGGCACGGTTCTGGATACAAGTTGACCCTCCAGAACCGTGCCTGAGCATAGTGCAAAACTCGCTTGCAGTACAAAAAGAGATCGCTTTCTTTTTCCGGTGCAGTCCTCTGGAACTCACTTCCTCCCCATGTCAGAAATGCAAAAACACTCAGTGTCTTTAAGACCACCTTTATTTCACTCAGCAGTTAATATGCTTTCTTTGTTGTTAATTTTCAACTTTTGTTTATAGACATTGATATGCAAATTCAGTTCCATTATCATTTATATCATTTGTCATATTTATTTCGTTTGTTTTCTGTATTAGTCTGTTCCGTTTCTTTTATCATAACTACCTTTGGATTGTACTTAAGTTACCTTTTACTATGTTATGTTATGTTATGTTATGTTATGTTATGTTATGTTATGTTATGTTATGTTATGCTGTGCTGTGCTGTGCTGTGCTGTGCTGTGCTGTGCTGTGTTATGTTATGTTATGTTATGCTATGCTATGCTATGCTATGCTATGCTATGCTATGCTATGCTATGTTATGTTATGTTATGTTATGTTATGTTATGTTATGTTATGTTATGTTATGTTATGTTATGTTATGTATGACACAAGGAGCTTTGAAAAGCGCCACAATGGCGACATGCTAACCTGTATAAATAAATGAAATGGAATGAAATAGTTCAGGATAAAGAAGGCACGTACGGTTCTGGATTCAACAGTACTAGTGAGACTCGTCTAACTATTAAAGCAATACATGTCTTGATATGTTTCAATGAAACATCTTTCTCTCCAAAGCAAATACTCTGAAATCCTCGGCTAATAATGCGTTTCTTGTATCAATAGGTTGTTTCTGGGACTTACTTTAGCTTTAAAGGCATCCAGTGCAGTTTTTAGGGCTTGAAACCCGACTTTTCAAAGCCAATATTCTAGTCATAATCTACATACTGATTTGACACCACACTATACCAATGTATATTGACCCTCATGGAGAAAAAATTCCCAAAATGCTGTTGAAAAACGGTTCCTGGAGGGGCCCTTGGCTGATTTTTAGGGTGCCACCCGGAAAAGGACTCATCTTGGGGCTTGTTTCTGTAGTTTTCAATTCCCAAAGTATGAAATGCTGATTTAAATGTGCCAATGTGAAGTAAAATGTGTCAATATCACAAAGTTTGCCTTATTCAGAATATTTCTAGTTTTGCTGCCCTGGCATCGCATTGGATGTCTTAACTAAGGATATCAGGGCTTATGGTACAGATCAATATTGGAGAAATGCTATTTGTAACTAATTTTAGAACCTGCCATACCCAAACTTTACTGTAGAGCAGGCTTCAATGACTGGAACCCGTTGCTATTGCCTTCATCTTGAAAACATACTCCCTTCCGACCCACTCAACACAAATGACGCCACATTATGCACTTTACTTCTTACAGGTAGCCCCTCCCTCCCATACCCTACCAACTGCCGTATCTTTGATACTATGTTCAACTATATTCATCACTCTGGAAGATTTGACCAATCTCATCAATGCTATGCTATAGGTATTGGTGCGCCAGCCACTTTCATTTTATGTTTATGTTGTAGTTTATGTCATCTTATGTTTACATTATTTGTATTATGTTTTATGAGCAGCGGATTCACATAAGCACAACAAGTGCTTCCTATCTAATGCTCAAAAATCCATGTGAATAACATTAAAAAACGTTGCTAGCTTTTGATCCTTACGTTTTTACCTCTCTTCATAGACACAGAGGATCCCAAGCTCACTGAACATTGCTCCAATATCAAGATAGAAACAAAGGACGAGTCTGTAGGTGTGAACTGGACTGAGCCGGTTTTTACTGACAACTCCAAACAACCTGTGAGAGTGAACTGCGACAAGGACAGCGGGCAGCGCTTCTATTGGGGGACGACCTGGGTCACGTGTACAGCACGTGATACCCACGACAACTCCGCCGAGTGCCGTTTCTCCGTGGCAGTGACCCGTAAGAGAACATTTTATATACTTGCCTAATATTGAAAATTTTATCTTTCTTATGCGCTTTGATCATCCTGTATTATACAAACCCATTTAAAATTATAGTTTTAACATCACAAAGAAACGAGAAGAAGCCGAACCTCTGTATTAGAGTAGTTTTAGAGCTGTTTGTACTACAAACATGTATCCATTTCATCTTCACCTGTACTTAGCCAGATAGGGCATGAATGTACAATAAAGGTTATTATTATTATAACCAAATTGTTTTCACAAAGAGCTCTGAAATGATTGTTTTGTTGTAGTTCCTTTCTAGATGAGAAAACTCTTTGCCTTTCTGATAAATATAAATCCCCATGTGCGTGTGATGTAAGCTACATTGGTTTGCAAACTATCGTAAATCTAGTAAAGTAGGATTGAGGACAAAATATATGAACAAAAGTAAACGCAAAGTCGCCAGATAGATCAACAAAAGTATTTAGCATGAGAGCTTTAAGGTTAAATGAAGTTTAGTCTTTGTCCAAATTGCAACAATAACAACACATGGTGGAATACCAGATAAAAAATCCAGCTGATGCCGTGCTCCACACATCATAAAACACACAAATGAGGATATAACTTTACACATTCCTTGTTAATTTTTTGTGTATTTTGCATCTTTAGCTACAAGATGCCCCCATCAAGATCCACCAATCAACGGCGCTCTCTCATGCGACCGTTGGCTCTATGGCCAGTTCTGCAGTGTACAGTGTGAGGAACGATTTGATTTCTACACGGAACCGGCTCGTATGTATGTCTGTGGGTCCTCCGGACAATGGAGAACCGACCCGCCAGGCAAGGAGACCAAATGGCCAGACTGTTCATGTACGTATCTTTATTCTTTATTCAAAACAGCGATCAGCATAGCAGCAGTACATAAAAATTATATTATGGACCGCTGAATTGTGCTGATCTTACATAATACATAAAAATACAACGTAGGTACAGACAGAACATGCAGATTCACGACAATTACAATATGTACAACATATAAAACTAATTCTGCATTTGACTGTATTATCTGCATGTTCCATCTCATTATAGATTGGAAAAATATAGAAGAGAATTATACAGAAAAACAAGGCATCAGACATCAAACATCCAAAAAATATGTAGATTCTGTGTGATGGTGACTGTGTCCTCATTTTGATTATATCTACAGGTCTTTATTCATCGTGCAAGGGAAATAACACTAGATTTTATCTGTCAAGTTAGTCAGACCCATAGCACACTAGGCCTAAAGTTATCCATTGTGTAGGTCATGTAACGAAAAAAACCTGTGAAAGAGAGAGAGAGAGAAACGAAAAACAATTCCTCCATTTTGCATGTAGGTAAGACAACTAATCACCTCATGTCTTGTTTTTATTTCAGTGAAACGAATTCCAGGTTACTCCAAAGGAATTGAGTTCCAGTACTACGTCGGAGACTGTGAGGACGAGGAGACTCAGAAGCAAATCAAACAAAACTTTATCGACCTCTTCAACAGCACGGTGTTTGGGAGGTACGGCGGTTGTGTAGGTGAGATACCCTGAAAATTATGTATATGTATGTATGTATGTATGTATGTAATGCCATGCGTGCCCGTAGCCAGGAGGGTTCGGAAGAACCCCCCCACAAGGCTCAAAGGTCCACTTTTTATGTAAAGGCTCACTTTTTGGTCCACTTTTTATGTAAAGGTCCAAGATTTTTCTTGAAAAGATGGACTGGAATCGTAGAAAAACTGCTCCCTTGTCATTGAATAAAAATTTATCTCTGATTTTTTTTCTTGGAAATCCTCTCAAAAATGGACGAAATGCCATTTTAGAAGGTTCATTTTTCAAAATTCAAAATTCCCCTCAAGCAGTGGGAAGAACCCTCCATTCAAAATCCTGGCTACGGGCATGCCATGTTTTCCATGAATTTACCTGAATCTGGATTTTAATCCCCTGTCCCACATTCACGAATTTGGCCTGCCGAACACTAGCAGAACGCCCACCAACCATGGTTGTCGGCAGTAGGTCGGGAGGAAGGTTGGCAGGTGTTCTGCCAAGTTCGCTACTGTTCGTTGGCGCCCGCCGAATGTTTCAAAATGTTTAAACATTCTGGTGTTGATGTGAAGTTTGGCCATGGATGACTGATGTTTTGCTGGTCTTCGTAAGTAGGTGAGGGTGTGGTTGATAGTGACATTTGACTCAAAATGAACTCAAATTCGATTCGATTCGTATAGAAATGTCGACGTTGCCTAAGTCTGGTCAGACTGCTCCTGAACTGCTTGTTCAGCTGGTGTTCTGTGAAGGTTCTTAATGCGTGACATTAGCTATAGGTACATGGACTTGTCTTCGTTTCCACCAGGCAACGTGAATTGTAGCGTGGACAACGTGGCCGTGTTCTGTGGCGAGAAGGACGAAGACATCGTGGTGGACTGGGTTCCCGAGGAAGACGGGGGACTGGACGGACCTGCCAGGAAAAAACGATCGGTGAAGAGACGCGGCAGACTCATCACCATCCGCCTTTTCATCAAGACACAGTACAAGGTACCCCAAAAAGCAGTGACTCAAGCAACTGGATATGATTTTGGAAACGGTCAGACGTTTCAGCTAGTATCCACTAGCTTTCGTCAGTGACTGAGAGACCAGAGGGGAAATGCAGGTTTATAAGCACTAACTATTTATTGATATGTCTTTACTTTATTTCAATACCAATCAATAGTTAGTGCTTATAAACCTTCATTTCTCCTCTGGTCTCTCAGTCACTGACGAAAGCTAGTGGATACTAGCTGAAACGTCTGACCGTTTCCAAAATCATATCCAGTTGCTTGAGTAACTGCTTTTTGGCGTATTGTATTACCTGGATGTCTAACCTTCATCGAAGTACAAGGTACCGTTTGTGGGGTCGTGTGGCGTAGCGGCAGAGTGCTCGACTCGGAACCAAGAGGTCCCGGGTTCGAGTCCTGACATGCCACCGATCTTGTGCCCTTGGAAAAGGCACTTTACACGACTTTACTCACTGCACATAAGTATTGTATTGTCCCCTGTGTTGGTGGCGGCATTAGTATAAGTTGAAAAAAGTGTGCCGTCACCACGTCTTGTGATTACATGTTGCCATATCAAAAAAAAGGTACAGGTCCTAAAGGTTAAACAACTAAAAACATTAAGTCAATGATAAAACTATTTTCTTTCATATTTACTTCTAATGGCAGATACATGTTGTTAATTGCCTAATGCCAAAAATTCAGCATAGAGGGGGGACAGCAAAATAAAATCCAGGCATCCAGAAACTTAATAATGGCATATCAATATGTCATTATCTTTTACCTGTGATCTTTTGATTCTTGTTCACAGAACGCAGATCCTGTACAGGGAGAATCAAAGGAGGTTAAGAAGAAGATGAAACAACTAAAAGAAGACATGAACGAAATTGTGAAGAAGGCGAAAGAAGATGTTCGGGTAGGTCGAATTCCTCTTCTGGTTCACCATCGTTTTTATACACCAACTATACCATTGAGTGAATGAGTTTATTATAGTCCATTGCTATGCAAAATTTAATATATACTGTAACGTCATTTATGGATATGGAATAAGGAGGACTGCAATATAGCCTGACTAAATCTCCGCTCCTAGCGGCCGGCCCGGTATTACACCTAGTTCGGCCTAGTTCTCGCGAGAACACGAGACTAGCTCACTCTATGATCAAGATGTACAGTGGACATCGAAAATTTGGAGGTACGTACCTTACAAAAAGAGTCACTGAATAAGGCATATTCTACTAACTGATAATTCTACGTGGCTGGGATGAACCTCTTCAACGATACCCTTAGTCTCTGTTCTATTAACATGGGTTTGTTCCCAGACAGGACAGCTGGGTGACATGGCCCTGACCGCCGGCGGACGGCGGAGAGGTCAGATGCTGGCTCTTGCCCGAGTGAGCGGTTCGGCAGGAGAAGACGTGGGGATAATAGACCTGGACACGGACGCGGTTCTGAGCTGCGACAGAGGACAGATCCTGGAGGATAACCTTTGCGGTATGTTGGAAATTATGAGACGGTTAAGCCACCTGTGCAGGCTCCGGGGCGGGTGGGAATTTAGTAGCCTCTACCAGGCTGGAGGGCGCGGCTGGAAATAGTATAAATTGGCCAAACAGAGAGATAACAAACTGTAAACTGGATGGCTAAACTCCCTCGGCGTGTTATCTCTATTTGGCCAATTTCTACTATTT